ATTTAACCCTTTTTTATTTAAACCAAGTACACATATATTTTTTCTATATTAAGAATGACATTAATTTTTTTACTAAAACGAATTATACATATAGATTTCTCTCTCTCTCTCTCTCTCTCTCTCTCTCTCTCTCTCTCTCTCTCTCTCTCTCTCTCTCTCTCTCTCTCTCTATATATTATATATAATATATATATTATATATATATATATATATATATATATATATATATATATATATATATATATATATATATATATATATATATATATATATATAATGTTATTAATGCTTATATATCTTAGGTTGGATTAGAGGAACACGCTAGCGTAAAATTTTAGAAGGATTTAGAAGATTTAATTTAGAATATATTCCAACTAGGGAATATTTTACTAGGAGGGATTATAACGGACATTTGGAGATCATAGCAAAAGATTTTGAGGGCGTGCATGATAGCTATGGTCTCTGGGAGGTAAATGCGGAGGGTAAATTCATCTTGGAGTTTTCATCGACTTTTGATCTTGCTATAGATAATACACGCTATAGAAAAAGAGTTGAGCCTCTTATTACATATAAGAGCAAAGTGACATGTTCTCAAATAGATTTATTTCTTATTAGGAAGTCAGATAGGAAGATCTGCTTAGACTGTAAAGTTATATTGGAAGAGAGCTTGACTATCCAAAATAGAGTATTAATTATGAATGTAAGAGTCAGAGGATAACTGAGATAATAAATTACATAATATCTCCACTACTCGAGTAGTAGCATTTGAAGGGTGAAAAAAAGGGAGTTTCCAACACAAGATCTTGGAGGAAGGGTTCAGACAACCTCAAGGAAGTGCAAATGACATATAGATCAAGATGGTCCAAGAGATTATAAATGTATCTAAAGAGACATGGGAATAATCAAGAGGTTTTAGACTATGGATAACGAATTGTGATTGGTGGAATGAAAGTTTTCATAGTAAAGTTAAATTAAAAAAATGGAATGTTTTAAAGAATGATTGAGGTGTACAAATACCAAAAGTTCGGGGAAAGTATAAGAAAGCTAATAAAGAGAATAATAAGGTGGAGAGTGAAGCAAGAACCCAAGCTTTTTACGATTTATATCAATCTTTAGGAACTAAGGAGGGATATATATATATATATATATATATATATATATATATATATATATATATATATATATATATATATATATATTATATATAATATATATATATATATAGTATATTATATATATATATATATGATTTGCTAAGGGAATAGGAAGAAAAACAAAAGATTTAAATCAAGTGAATTATGTTAAAGATGAAGAAGGAAAAGTATTAATTCAGGAAAATGATATAAATGATAGGTGGAAGGCGTATTTCTACAATTTATTTAATGAGAATATGATATCTCACATAACTTTAACATACTCGACATTATAGAAGAGGATCAAAACTATAATTGCTAACGACAAATTCATAACAAGAAGTAAAATAAGTGTTGAAAAGGATGAGTAACATTAAACTTTTTAACGAAATTATGAGGTCAAAGCAAATTTCAGATGAATGGAGAAGAATCTTTTACTACCAGTCTAAAATAACAAGGGAAATATGCAAAATCATGAAAATTATATATGGGGTCAAATATATGAATCAAACCATGAAGTTATAGGAAAGAGGGATTAAATGAAGACTGAGAAAAAAAACTCAAGTCAATAAGAATAAATTTTGGTTTTATGCTTTAGAGGTCGACTGTAGAAGTGATTTATCTAATACGACGTGTGATGAGGCAGTATCCATGGACCAACAAGACTTGGACATAATATTTAATTTACTCAGAGAAGGTGTATGATAGAGTTCCTAGAGAGATTTTGTGGAAATATCTAGAGAAGAAATGGGTTAATATTTCCTACATTTAATCTCTCTATGATGTATATGAAGAGGTATTAACTAGTGTGTAGACTCATGGTGGAGAGACAAACGATTTCCCCATTACAATAGAAGTACACCAAGGTTTAACCCTAAGCCCATACCCTTTTCATTTAATTTTGGATGTACTCACAAAACACATCCAAGAACTAGCACTAAGATGTATGCTTTTTACAAATGATATTATAGACCTACTTGAAGAGGTCGAAGGAGGATTTAAATGAGAGGTTAAAAATTTGGAGACAAGCCTTAGAAATGCATGGCTTTCTCCTAATCAAAATTAAGAAGGGGTATAAGGAATGTAAGTTAAGCAAAAAGAGAAGGGTTTTAACCTATAGGTGAAAGTTGAAGACCATATAATCCCATAAGTCATATGGTTTAAATATACTTGGGTCTGTAATGCAAAAAGTTTATATATTTAAGGGAATGTAAACCATAAAATTCAAGTTGGGTAGATGAAGTGGAGGAGGGCCTATGGGGTTTTATGTGACACATAAGCACCACTTAATCTGAAGGGAAAATTTTATTGGATAATAGTAAGACATGTGATGTTGTACGTGATTGAATGTTGGGCGATTAAGAATCAACACCGAGAATAAAGTAAGTGTAGTAGAGATGGGATGTTGCATTGGATGTTTGGAAAGACTAGACGAGATAAGATTATATATGATATAATTAATATAGAGTTTTTAGGGTAACACATATAGTAGAAATGATGATGGAAATAGGCCTAGATGGTTTGAGTATGTAAATAGGAGACTTGTAGATAATATTGTTGTTAGGAAAGTGGATCAAATGGAGAAGAGTCAAACAAATAGAGGTACAAGAATACCTAGGAAAACTATAAGATAAACTATTTAAAAATATCTCGAGATTAACAAACTGGATAGAAACATGGTATTGGATAGAACATTATGACAAAATTTGATCTACATATATGACCCCGCTGAAGGTATGAAAAATACAAGAAAGAGGGGTTGCAATTGGGTTTTGAATCAAAAAACTTTTCTTTAAAATCCCTTTCTTTTAGAACAAGAAACTTTACTTAGTGATAATAACAATAAGATGCAAGAAATAAAGAACAACAATGTGTATACTAGTTCACATTGAAAAATATCAAGCTAGTCTAGTCCACCCGCCAAGGTGATTTCGCCTCTCTCCAACGAGGACTTAATCATATAATTAAACTGATTATTACACTTACACACACCAACTGTATGTGACTAACTAAACAGTCTTTAAGACACACAGGTCTTAAACTTCTCAAGAATACTGACCTAACTGTTCTCTCAAGGAACAATCATTAAGACACACAAGTCTTAAACTTCTCATGAATACTGACCTAACTGGTCTCTCAAGAAAATTAAATCTCTAAGACACACTAGTCCTAGACTTCTCAAGAATACTGACCTAACTGGTCTCTCAAGGAACAATCTTTAAGACACACAAGTCTTAAACTTCTCAAGAATTCTGACCTAACTAGTCTCTCAAGGAATAATCAAACAATTGTTTGAATAATTCATTTACAGTGAAAATGCTTCTACAGAAGCTGATTAGTATACAAATTTTAAGAATAATAGACTAAAATATATGAAAGCTATGAACAGAGCTTGTGCGTGGATAATCTGTGAGTTAGAATCTTTCTCTCTTAGTCTTCAAGCCTTTATATAGTCAATAAAATAATATATCCATTGAGGGGTAATCTTGGGATTTCGATAAACATTGGCGGCTTGAGAAGTAACGTGGGGGGGCATAATCGTTTAACGCGTCCATCCTTTCATGGTAGTGGAATGAAACATTTTGATTGTACCATGTACTATTTGTACCATATTAACATTATCTTCTTTCCTTCTGCATTTCAGAGACTTCTGCGAGCATGAGCTTAGAAGAGAGAACATAACATTATGGTCATTGAAACTCCAAGTATTCAGAGTCTTCAGAACTGTAGCTTTAGAGTCTTAAACACTTGGTTGTGAGAACCTTTTCTAGAACCTTGGGTCTTCAGAACTTCAAGTCTTCAGAGTCTTTAGAACTTCTGTCTTCAGAGTCTTCAACACTTGGTCTTTAGAACACTTTTCTTAGAGCCATGGGTCTTTAGAAACTTGAGTCTTTAGCATCTGGACTTAAGTAGAACTTTTTTCTTCAGATCTTCTGACTGGTTTCTTTAGAACATGTTGTCTTCATAAACATGAGTCTTTAGCATTTGGACTTAAGTTGAATTTTTATCCTCAGATCTTCTGATTGGTTTCTTTAGACTTCATATCAGAGCCTACACTTCAGAGTCTTATGGAGTGTCTTACTACTGTTCATCAGAACTTGTGTAGCTTAGAAGCGAAACTAATTATCTTCTAATATCTTGGTCACACCATCTATCAGAAGTAGAAAATGTTTGTTAAATACTAAAAAATAACAAACATTAAAGTATCAAAATTGTTCATACAAACATACTCATTTGTTATCATCAAAACTCAAAGATGATATCGAAGAACCAAATCTTTTTCTAATAATCTCCCTTTTTTATGATGACAAAACCATGTATTTTTATGACATGATTTTGTACATAATCAAAGGAAGTAAAAATAAGAAGGGTAACAAACACTTATCCTTTATATGAAAATTCCCCCTGACTCAAAGACTTGATAAAGATCAAATATCCTGATTCTGAACCATTTGAGTAGAACTCCCCCTAGTTCCAATAGATCAGATATTGAGATCTTGAGAGTCTTGATACCAATCATGCCAATTTAGATCTTAAACCTCTAGCGTCACAAAGACAGATTCCAAATTCTCAATTCAGAGCTTGGTTATGAATAGTCTGATTATGAACTTAA